GACCCAGCAGGTCCCCGAACGAGCAGCTGAAGACCAAGGAAATGTGTGAAGTGTCCTCTGGGGGAGGCTGCGAGGACCTGCAGACGGGCAGCACTGCAGGGGACATCCCTCCCGGAGCCACGGAGGTCCACAGGGCAGGGCCCAGTTTGCCTCTGGAGACTCAAGAGTCCCTGGAGGAAGGGGAGGAGGAGGAGGAGGAAGGGGAGGAGGAGGAGAGTTATGCTACAGATGTTATGGAAGAGGAGGAGGAGGAGGAGGAGAAGGAGGAGCAGGAGGAGCAGGAGGAGAAAGTAAATAGAAAAGTTGATCTTGTGGGGCTGTAGAGCATAACTCAGAGCCTGTAGCAGTATAGTGCTCCTCTAGCACATGTGAGGCCCTGGGTTCTATCCTCAGCACCACATAAAATTAAATAAATAAAATAAAGATGTTGTGTCCAATACTTCTAAAAAATAAATTAAAAAAAGAAAAGTTGATCTTGTGGTTTTGTTGGTTTACTATGTACGTAAGTCTGTATTATAAAGGTATGGGATTTTATTTTCTTAAGTAAGCACATTGCAAAGCCTAGTGAACAGGTTTATCAGGGATTTGGATAGACAGCATTAAGTGACTTGGCATTCAGAGAGATGCCAAAAGAAGAAAAGTTTAAAAACCTAAAAGTAATGAGACTGGGGTTGTAGCTCAGAGGTGGAGGGCTGGCCTCATTTGCACAAAGCCTGGATACAATCCCCAGCACTGATAAATAAATAAATCTAGCATACATTTTACTCCATCATACTTATATCTTTGTTCCAATTTATAAAACATTATAATTACTTTCGATAAAATCGCTTAATTCTCTTCTAAAAGCAGAATCCAGCCTGTTGAGAATCCAGGAAGCCTGTTCATGGGTCTTCTTGCAGCGTCTTACCGCGAGCATTCTGAGACTTTCACCACCAGATGGCAGCATCGGCCCACGGATGCTACAACCGGCCACGGCGGGACAAACAGGTTGAGGATAAGAGGCTGATTCCAAGAGCATCTCCCGATGAGCGCCAGCCCTTTGCACCCTCCAGAAGTACACACGCTTCTCCCTTCATCACTGAGAGGCCCTGTTACCTATATATAGGTATTGCACGTGTGTGAGTGTGTGTGTGTGTGTGTGTGTGTATATGTGTGTGTGTGTGTGTGTGTGACGTGTTCAATCCAGGACTTCTTGCATGCTAGGCAAGAGCTCTCCTGCTGAGCTACCCCAGTTCCAGATGTGGCTCTTTTAAACCCCACCTCACACAAGACCCCTGCACTTCCAGCTCTGAAGATCCAGAGGGATCTTCCCTTTGTTCCTTATTTCCTACGTTAAGCACATGTCACTGGGGATATTGCTCATTAAATTACAGGTTGGGTGGCAGGATCTACCCACGTCCACTGCAATGCGCTGGCAAAGTTGTACCCCACACATCCAGGACCTGGAGGAAACTACAAAGAGGGCAGAGCAGGTGCTGGCAGGGCCAGGAGCTGCGTGGGAAATTGACTCCTTTCCTCACTTCTTCATTCAATGTAGTCACTTCTCCATTCTCATAAAACTACTAGTGGTAGAAAAGACACATTAGTCCAAATTTCTTTAATTCTACACCCATTCTTTGTCTCAGCATTTCCTACCATACTGGGAAAACAAGACTATTCAGTTCTCTGAATTCAATTGCAATTGTTTTCCTTCTACAAATAGGATCCAGTCTAATGAAAGAAGCTTGTCAAGTGCTGTGTAGAAAATTTCCCACAAAAGACAAGCCCTGGTTAAACAGAATGGAGTGAAATTCTAGGCAACATGAAGTCTCACAGATTCTGCCCAAGAAGCCAGATTGCCATCATCACAACAGCATTTCAAATGCCTCGCACCACCTACATTTTTTAAAAATTACATGAAAATAGCTTATTTGTTCTTAAAAGGATTAATCAATAAAATGAATTGTGCGTTCTTAGTTTCAAAGAAGACTGACCCAGAATTCTCTCTTCATGTTTTTTTTTTTTTTTTTTTGGCAAAAGGGGATTTATTGGGGACCCATTCCAGCGCGCTGGGGCTCCGTGCTCACTCAAGAAGGGAGAGCAGCCCAGAGCCCCGAGCTGAGGTCAAGCAGAGCTTAAGTACACTTTCTGGAGAGGGTGGTGGGCTTTGCATACATCAGAACAAATCATCATGAGGTGCGGGAAAAATTAACAACAACTCTGAGACGTGATTGGCACATTCATTGGCGGGAACAGGTCGGGCAGGGGGGGGGTGATTGGTCATTCCTAAGCGGGTTACACATTCAAACTGATTGGTTCGGGCCCTGTGACGAACTGCACAGGGCCCTAGTCTCTTCATGTATGTTACTGCAGGCCACAGGGCTGTTATAACCAACATTTGGATGTGCTTAAATTGCATTAAAAAAGAACAAAGTTCTAAAGGATGGAAGTGATCATCTCACCCCGCTCCCCTGATGGTGCTAGATTCTTATTATGACATTTTAAGATACATTTTCTGCTTACGGATCTGGGTTTTGTCAACCAGAGAAGAGAGGTCAGGATGACCCAGGATTCAAGGTCAGATACGCCCAGAGTCTTCAGCTGTGATTCATGCCCTCTGCTAAAAGAGAGGTGATTAAAGGAGAGCAAGAACCTGCAGGGGATTTTTTTCTTTCTAGCTCTAGTAGTCAGATGTAGCCTTAGGAACAAAAAATAGCCTTAGTGCACAGGTAGTTTATTCCACTATAAGGAAAAGCTTTGTCCTACCAGCACTGACCCACAATGGAATAGGTGGAGAACATCAATAAATCTCCGATGACCTGTAAAGCTCTGTCCAGACTTCCCGATCCATAAGCAGAAAAACTCTTCCATAGATGTGACAGTCGGTGCCAGATTCTGAGTGTTCAACGACGGCAGCTTACGATGGGCTCTGTCTGGGCCTGCTCAGGACTTCACAGGGAAAACGGACCAGGGAAACTAGGAAATTACATTTAATTTACATTACAAAGTTTAAAACATACTATAATGAGTGAGTGATGGAATCCATCAAAAAGGCACTTCCACCATCTCTGGGTAGTCAGGGACTTTCTGAAATAAGGTTATCTCATATGAGACCTCAATAGTGAATAGGAGTTAACTGAATAAAGAAGGCAGGGGAAAGATGATATCTCCTCTGAGAACTTTTCCTTCCTACACAGTTTCCGTGATCTCCTTTAGACACCTGACCTTCACAAACACTAATAAAAATAAGCTGCTGTTAGTAGTTATCTACTGCTGCATAACAAGCCACCCCGATATTTTGTTACTTAAAACCACAACCATTGATTTGCTCATGATTCTGTGTTTGGGCTGAGTTCAAACAGGAGTGTCCCCCCGCTTGCCTGGGCACATTCGTGGGGCTGGGGTCTTCTGAGAGCTTGACTGGGATGGAGTCTCCTGGTGGCCTAGCATGTTTGGCAGTTGATATGGCGTCAGCTGGGGCACCTTGGTTCTCTTCCACATGGCCACTCCCTCTCTGGAAGGCTGGACAGAGCTTTCCATGGTGGGCTCAGGTCAGGGCAGTATTCCAAGAAGGCAAAAGAGGACATTCACAGGCATGTAGGGCCCAGGCCCTGGGACTTGGCTGGCATCATTTCTGCCACATTGGAGTGATTCAAATGAGTGATAAGGTCTATGCAGATCCACAGAATAAGGAAATAACCTCTTCCTTTCGATGGAAGGAGATGCAAAATATCATGGTATGTTTTTCACTTGAGAAAACCCAATTCAGAGGGATTTGGGGAAGACTCCAGAGAAGAGTGGAGCCTGGACTCAGTCCTAAAAGATGAACAGGGTTTTGTTGAGGAGAGCTTAAGAGTGGGATGGAGGGGACCGCCAAGAAGACCATGGGGATTGGCATCAAAGGATCAGGGACAAAAATCTGGGGGAAAGGAGAACATCAGGAGAGCATTGTCACATCTAGTACTGCCCCGAAGTGCGTTTGGCTGCCTAGGTAATGAGGTCATGATCCAGTACTGACTGTTTCCCAACAAAGACAAGATGGTGAGTGGTTCTATAATAAATATGGTCAATGTACCTCACCAAGAGGAAAGTTCTAACCGGGGAAGTTAGGTGATCAAACTTCTCCTTGTGGATCTGAAATGCCATTTCACAGACACGTTCTCAAGTAGCACCAAAGCTATTTTGTTCCCATGAATCTGACCCAAACTTCAATCACCTGCGCATTCTCTGCTCCATGGCTTGTGTGCCCACATCTGTTTGAATACTGAGCCTTTGTTTTGTTTTGTGTTGTTGTTGCTGTTGTTTGTTTTCTGGTTTTTGCTGTTGTTGGGGGGAGGTTCTGTGGATTGAACCCAGGGCCACTTTATCACTAAGGACATCTTAGTTCTCTTCCACATGGCCACTAACTCTATCCCCAGCCCTTTTCATTTTTTTATTTGGAGACAGGGTCTTGCTGAAGGGATATGAAAAATAATATTCCTACAAGACAGCTCCCCAGGAAAAACAGAGGGACAGTGTGACTTGGGAAGAGGGAGGGAAATGAGCCACACATTAAGCCTCTCCCAGTACACCTTTTCCCAGTAATAATGGACCCTGATGGAAAAAGCAAACTTTCATCCCTTCCCAGGTTCATGCCCAGCATCTCCACCAAAACCAAACATTTACCCCTTCCCAATCCCAGTGGGTCCTGAAGGGAGGAGGCGAATAATGAAACACTGGGCCCTGGACTTTGACCCTTTCCCGTTGCAGATAAGTCCTGGAAGGAGAAAAGCAAATAGTGAAGCTCTAGATAACAGTGAGTCCCAGAGGAAGGAAGATAAGCAGTGAACGCCGAGTTGTGAGCTTTTCCCATGGACAACGAGTTTCAAACTTTTTACAACTAACTTCCTGAGTTAAAATTTTAGCCTGCACAAATTGGTCCCTAACTGTCCAAACTGCACGCCTACAGTCTCCAGTGATTAATCTGCCCTCTTTGTAAAAACCCAGATTCCTTCTGTAACCTGGGGGGGGTCATCTCCATACCCATAAAATGAGCCCTCCTGTGCCTGATGATTGGCTTCGATGCAAAATAAAGGAAAGCTTGCTGATCCGAGGTTTCCGTCTCCTTCCTCCATCCTTTGTGTGCCATGCACTTACACTTACACTTACTAAGTCGCTTATGGCCTGAGACTGGCCTCAAACTTGCAATCCTCCTGCCTCAACCTCCCAAGTCTCTAGGATTACAGGCAAACACCACTATGGCATGAGTCCTTGTTCTGACAACATCAAATCATTTAAAGTAAAAGGAAAGGTGATATATGCTCAGCAAGTTGCAAAGACTCCCTCTGACATTATCATGGACGCTGAAACTTCAGACTCTGAGGACTATATTAAGAGAGCAGATTCAAAAAAAAATCACTAACATCTAAGCCAACACTCATGATCCTCCAACCCAAGCTGGATTTACATGGGATTTTCTTTTTCTATTTGTCCTCAGTCAATAGGAAAAAAGGTATTTTGTTGCTAAAAGATTGGAAAGAGAAAGAATTCAGACAACAGTTCTGTAATTAATCCACTTTGGCAAAGCCCGGTTGGAAATGACAGTCTGGCAGGGTCACATGGGTCAAATGATTTAAGCCACTTAGGAGCAATTGAACATTTCTTCACATTTGTGATTGCTTTGTGAGCAGGAGCTAGCATGACTCATGATTACATGCAATCACAAAAGACCACGTAATATATGATTTCACATATATGAAAAGTCCAGAACACACAAATCTATACAGTAGCTTAGTGGTTGCCTAGAACTTCATGGGGAGGAGAGGTGAGAGGAATGGAGGGTGACTGCTGAAGAATATAGGTTGCCTCTGGGAGTGATGAAATGCTCAAAATCTGATTGTAGTGATTGTTGCACACTGATGAATAAACTAAAAAATATGTATGCACACTTTGCCAGGCACAGTGGCTCATACCTGTAATCCCAATGGCTTGGGAGGCTGAAGCAAGAGGATCTCAAGTTCAAAGCCAGCCTCAGCAACTTAGCAAGGCTCTTAGCAACTCAATGAGACCCTGTCTCTAAATAAAAAATACCCAAAGGGGGCCCGCTGGGGGTGTTACTCAGTGGTTAAGCACCCCTGGGTTTAGTCCCGAGTACCGTCCCCCAAAATTATATGCTGGGATAATTGAATCGTGTGTTAATTATAACTCAATAAAGCTACTCTAAAAAATTAAAGTGCAAACTTTCTTTTCCCACAAATCCTGTCATGTGTGGACTGGCTGGCAACCATCCTCCAATCTAACCCTCACGTTCAGAACATACTCGAAACAAAGAGAAGACATATCCTCCAGGCTAAAACAAGCATAATAAATATCTTCCTCTTCCTAATTGTGTCCTTGGTTTGTTTAACTCCAAAAGAGCATCTGTTGAAATGCTGGTCAAGAATCCAATAACTTTTGCTGGGCACAGTGGTGCACGTCTGTAATCCCAACGGCTCGGGAGGTTGAGACAGAAGGATGGCGGTTCAAAGCCAGCCTCAACAAAAGTGAGGCACTAAACAACTCAGTGAGATAAATAAAATACAAAATAGGGGTGAGGATGTGGCTCAGTGGTCAAGTGCCCCTGAGTTCAATCCCCAGGGCCTCCATCGAAAAAAAAAGAATCCAATAACTTGAAAACTAAATGAACTGGAATTTACATTATTCAATTAATCTTAATGCTGGCAAAAGATTACCCCCTTTGTCTTGTTTTGTGGAGAGAAGCAGTCTCTTGAAGGTGGCAAGAATAAAACCTGTTGATTCAATGTTTTTTGTGTTAGATTAGCAAGACTTAAAAGGGCATGTCCCTGGGTCTCAGTTTGACTGTTTTGCCAAAATAGGAAAGAAATCCATCTGGCACACACAGGACTAAGACTAATACAGCAATGTGAACTTGTCAGTGAATCACTTTTCTAACAAAGACTAATTACTACAACTCCAGTAGAACGTGCCCTTGCCTAGGTCATTCAT